CATACTCTTACTTTCACACACTCACACAGACATGCACACAGACATACATATATGTTCATTATTACACACACATACATTCATCCATGCTCAAACACGTTCTCACACTCACCTTCTCTCTCTCTCTCTCTCTCACACACTGACACACCAGTTAGGAGCCGCTGGAGGTTGTCAGGGGGTATGTCTGGGCTCCTGTCTGTCCCAAAGCCCTCGATGCCCCACTCACCTCCACCACCAAGTCCAGCCCCTGGATGGACAGTGTCCTTGGCAGCTTTGGCGGCTATTGGCAGAGCTCTCAGTATGCCTTGGGGGGCTGGCAAGACCTTGCAGGACCAGGGTTCCACACCACAGTACGGCCCGTGCCTGACCTCAGAAACCTCTTGAACCCTGCAAACACCAGAGACAGGGCCTCCCTTGGCAGGCCTGGCCTGGGAGCAGGAAGAAACAGAATCCACACCCATGCTGGGGTGGTCCAGGAGAACGCTGCTCTCAAACAGAGTCCACAACCCATGCTGGGGTGGTCCAGGAGAACGCTGCTCTCAAACAGAGTCCACAACCCATGCTGGGGTGGTCCAGGAGAACGCTGCTCTCAAACAGAGTCCACAACCCATGCTGGGGTGGTCCAGGAGAACGCTGCTCTCAAACAGAGTCCACAACCCATGCTGGGGTGGTCCAGGAGAACGCTGCTCTCCTTTTTTCTGTTCCCTTGGGACCACTTCACTGTCAGTCCGGGGCAATTGCCAGGTTGGAGTGTCCATCAGGTCTCAGTGGCCAGGCTGGCACCCAGCAGAGGGCACTACACAAGCTCTGCCCCCTGAGCTACCCAGGGAGCCTTGCTGAGGTGACCCCTCCCAGGCCTGGAGCCAGTCTTCCTGAGGAGGGTGTGAAACAGGGATAAAAGGCACTGGACCACCATTCTTGGCCCACCTCCATCTGCCCAGCTGCTCAGGAGCATCAGGTGCCCACCAGGTGCCAGGCCATTATGTGCAGTTCTAATGGTTTAAGTTGTCTGTCTCCCCAAATCCCCAGTGGGGATCTCAGTGGGGACAGCAGGCAGACAGCAGTGTCTGTGGACTATGTCCCTGTTGTAGGCAGTCACAGAATCTGCTTCTTAGACCCCCGAGCAGCCATTTATAGACAGGACCCTGGAGAGCAGGAAGATGACCCAGTAGCCACCGGCTGGTCAGACCCAGGACTCAGACCCTGGAAGACACCACTGGTTCCTCCAACCACTATGCAGAGTCTCGCCTGCCAGCTCCAAACTCAAGCCACCACCAGGGCCATGGCATACATGCTTCTGACTGAACGTATACATCCCTTCTCTGGCTCCCCCGTTGCTTCCACACCCAGCATCTTCTGCACCCTCTGTGGGGAGCACTGGTCAGAACCCAGGGTCACAGACAGAAAGGCACGTGCAAGGAGTCTCTGTGTGTGGTATGTGCATGTGTGTGGTACGTGTGCTGTGAGGGTGTGCTGTACACACATGGGTGTCATGTACATGTCTATGTGTGGTGTGAGTGCATACAGGTGTGTGTTATACCTATACATGCAGAGTGTACAACTGTGTGTGGTGTGCATATATGTGTGATGTGCATGCATGTGTGGATGCATAGATGTCTGGTGCACTCATGTGTGTGGTGTGCACATGTATGCTGGGTCTGTATACATGTGATGTGCACACATTCATGTGTTGTGTGATGAGTGCATGTGCGGTATACTGCAGGTGTGCACATATGTATGTGGTGTGTGCACACGTGGCTACATGCAGGTGTGTGGCAGCACAGATATATTCTGTACATGTATGCTATGTGCATGCATGTGTTGCGTGCATGTGAGCATGCAGTGCTTCATGCATGTGTCTAGTGTATTTATGTGAATGCCTGTGTGAAAGTTGGCCAGGGGCACAATGCCCAACCCAGTGGGAGGCTCTCAGGGGGCCTCAGCCAGGCAGAGGCCAAAGACCCCATTAACAGCTGTGGCCTCCTGGGAGCACGGTGGGGTGTTTTTCTCAAGAGGAGAAAGGAACGAAAGCAGGAGTCAATTTGGAATTGTACTTGAGAAAAATATGCATTATCTATCAGTTACCAGGCGGCCAGCGTGGTAGGAGCTGTGTGTGGAGACCAGGGCAGTGAGCCCAGCAACAAGCCTGGGCAGCATTGCGCAGCTGGACCTGAGAGCTGTGAGCCGGCAGCCTGCACGCCCTGTCCCCTCCCTGGGCATGGAAAGGAGCACACCAGGGGTCTGCTCCCAGAGACCCAAGGCGCCAAAAATCTCATTATCAATGTTTGTCCCACCTCCATCCCCTGTATTGATAGCAGCTGGGGAGGGGGCGGGCAGGATCCCACAACAGCATCCTCTGTCAGTGCTCAGTGCCCTCTGAGCTCTAGGGGGGGCCCAGGCTGGTGGCGGCTGCTGCTCAGGCACCTGGTGGGGGTCAGCGCTTGGGACTTGAGCTGCTGAGTGCACACAAGCCTTCTCTGACCCTTGGTGCTGCTGGCCTGGTGCCTAGATCCTAGGTGGGCCACCCCACACAGCCATTCAGGGTCAGGGCAATTAGGACCAATTCCCTTAGCCCCAGCCCTGATACCCACACACCTGGGCAGGGAGGCAGAGAGTCAGCTCCCAACCCCGCCCAAGGACCAGCTCAAACCCTGTGAGGCCCTCTAATCTTCCCCCAGCATGCCAGAGACCCCAGTGCATCCTCAAACAATGTGGGAGCAAGAGAGACAGAGCTCTGTGAACAGCTCCCAGGTGAGGAACTGGTCCTGAAAATATCAGGCGACTCAGACCTCAATTGGCAGATGTCCGTGTTGAAGGTCATCCCTCTTAGAGAGGATGAGTGGAGCTGCGATGGGGTACAGAAAGACTGTGAGTCTCTGCTGAAGGGGTGCAGGCATGGGGACACCCTGGGCTTCCTGATCTGACTCAGACCCCTTAGCTTCAAACTGGGGTGGAGGAAATATTCCTAAATCTTTCAGCAGGGTAACAGAATTACCAAGGGAACCTTCTGGTGGTTGGCATTATTGCTGAACCCTCTAACTCAGGAGGACTAGGCTCCGTAACAACCTTACTGTAGCCACCACCACCACTGCAGTAATAATAATAAGACTCCACCTGGTGACAGCGTACCTCATGCTTTTGACACTAAGCCCTGTGCTATGTACTTTACACTATGACCTCCTTGAATCCCACCAGCAGCATGGGAATGATACTTCTACAGAGAAAGACAGTGAGGCATGGATCTGCCATGCCTGCCCTCCAATCCCTGCTGAACCTTAGCATAGACATGGGCAGGCAGCCAGAGGCGATCCCAGCCATTTTAAAACCCAGACACAATCTCAGGGTGAGTGCCTCTGTCCACCTGCAGAGCCGGACCTATGGCTCCACCCCAACCTCCAGCTACCCAGGAGCGTGGGAAAGCCTGCGTGCTCCAGTCAGCTGGGTGGTAGAGACAGTGGGACTCAGGTCTTAAAGGGACAGAACATGGAACGGGCGGGGGGGGGGGGGGCAGTCATGTGGGTTTGGATGGCCACTCAGGACCATTCATATCCTGCCTATCTCTGCTCCAGGTGGGGCTCAGGTGAGTACCAAGCTGTTACCTGGGGGATGAGGGACCTGGCTGGGTAGTGATCCCTCTGGGAGGACAAAGCACTGCCACAGGACCCCCATGTGGACCCTGTGAGAGGGGACGCTGCAGCTCCCACACCAGGGTAATGCTCATGTTCCCTCATGTCAGCCTTGGACCTGCATTCCCACATTCCCAAGATGAACCCCAGGCTGCTTGGGGTGGGGTGTCAGATGGCGAGTCTTGTTGCTGCGTCCAAGGGAGGTGGCTGGTAGCCCCTTCTCCCTAGCAGCAAAACGGGCAGTGTGGGGCAGTGGTCACAAGCACAGACCCTGGAGCGGGTACCTTGTACACTTCAGCCCCCACTTTAAACAAGTTACTTCTCCCCTTCCCCATGCCTCAATTTCCTCACCTGAAAATGGAAATAAAAACTGCCTGTTGGGTGGCTGGGTGGTCTCCTAGTGTGGCGCTGCAGGATAATGCACTGGATAAGACAAGCTCAGTTTGAGCCACGAGGTCGGTGGTTCAAACCCACCAGCCGCTATCCGGAAACTCTATTCAGGGTTGCTATGAGTCGGACCTGACTCATAACAACAATTACAGCACCCTATTTACAGCATATTCAAGTTACAATGAAACACGCTTTGGCCGCGCTTTTACATGTGTTCATCTTACCATTAGTAATACGTACTACAGAGTGTTCCAGAGGGTAATGTGCTGACGTCATCATATCTGTAAGTTTACATGTAATGTCTCCAATCCCCAGAGACTAAGATCGAATTTATAAAGAAACTGATAGTAATAGTGCTGACGGTCACTAAAAAAATAATTAGGTATTTAACTTCTGTGGGACATGGCACGACGCCGGCATGAGGTGAGCATCAGGGCCACGTGGAATGTCATTAATGTTAGCTAGACCGGAACTTTAGACCAGGCTCCCCACCAGAGGTACAGGAGTGAGGGTCTGAGCCCACTGTTGTGAAGGTTCCAACTTTGCTAGTCCTGTTTCCTGACACCACTCAGTGATGGACACTTAGACACGGTGTGCGGCAGGGGAGACAAAATAACCAAATCTAGTCTTGCTGCTTAGAGGAGGTGGCCTCCTGGCCCTGGGCAGCAGCTTCAACAGCTCCCAGCCCGTCCAAGTGGAAGTTCAAATCAGAGCCTCCCCAGAGTATTGGCAAGTTGACAAGAGTCTGGTGTAGGTGGGCTGGCAGGGAGTGGCCCCTGCCCCAAGAATCTCAGTGTCAGCCAGGTCCACCCCCTGGGTTCCCTGCGGGAGGCTGGTCAACTCTGACCATGTGTCCGAGAGCAGCACGCCCAGATTGCCCAGCGCAGACCCGCCCCCTGTGCGGAGCCCCTCCCTGCCCCACTGAGCGGACACCTTCTTAGGGCAGCACTGGTCCACCCGCACCCATGGGTGGCGCAGTGTACTCACCGTCCAGGTGGCAGACTTGGCTGTGCTGGACTGCTGGAAGGTAACTTCGAAGTGGTGAGGGCCGGGATAGTCGGTGTTGGAGGGGATGACAGGAGCAGGCGACATGGTGTCGAAGGTGGAGCTGGGCTGTGTGTAGGGAGAGTGGGTGGGCACGCTGGCGGCGTGCTCTGGGGTGTAGGGGCTGGCGGGGGTAGTGCGACTGTTCATCTGGTCCATGGTGCTGCTCAGCAGATTAAACTGGGACTGGCGGGAGGGGGAGAGACAAACCGTCAGGCAGAGTGGGAGCCGCCCCGGCCCCCCCAGGTGTCCGGTTACTGCAGGAGCCTTAAAGGGCCAGCCTGCACGAGTCATCCCAAACATTTCCTCAGGCGCCCCCCCGCAACAGGTCATGACTTGTGTCGGATAAACCGACATAGTCATTTCGCCCCCTCCACCAGCCACCCCGTGCTGCCCTGGTTTTTGGGGATCCACTGAACTGGGAAGGGGAGGAGGCAGGCCTCTCACAGGGGTTCCTGGTTCCTGCTGCAGGTCACCTCACACCTCACAGCTCAGAGTGGGGACCCCAGGCCCAAAGAGTCAGGCAGGGCAGATACAGTACTCAATGCACCCACCAGGGTGTGTGAGAGGCCCTGGGGTACCCATCTGACTCTACATCCAGACCTGACTTAGCCTGCCTTTGCAGTTGGTCCCCAAAGATGTGTCGAATGGCCCCTTGGCTCTCAGGGCCCCCCACACCTTGTCTCTCTGCCCTGGCAATGTTCTAACTCCTTCTATACCTTCAGCTCTGTCCCAGGGCCATGCACCCCAAGAACGAGACTTCAGGAATTGCAGCCACCGTGAAGTGGCCATGTTCTCTGGGTCACCCTGTGTAGATCCTGGACCAGAAGCAGAGGGAGGGGGAACCCAGGCAGCTCCCACCTGCAGGGCTGGCCAGGACGACCCTCCTCCCAAAGCTGGGGTGGGCTTTGCAGAGTCACACAAAGCAGCTGACCAATATGAGGCCTCTCATCATCAGTGTCAAGATTCACTCTGTGTCAGGAGGCCATTCCCCGCTCACTGTTGAGACCCTTCATGCTTTTCACAGCCCAAGTTACTCTCCCTGCACTCTCCCATTTGTTGTTGTTAAGCGCTATCGAGTTGGTTCGAACCCATAGCAATCCTGTATAGGGTTTCCAAGGAGCGACTGGTGAGCTTGAACCGCCGACCTTGCTGTTCAAACCCACTTTGCAATCCAGCACATTAACCCACAGCACCACACCAGCACTCCACTCTCCCATTTACAGATGAGGAAACAAGGCCCAGAGAGGAGCAGCGACTCTCTGGTGAGTCTGTCTCCCTGCCTTATCCAGACTCTCCCTTCTCTTCCCACCGGGTTCCCTGGCTGCCCAGGACCATCAGCAGGGTCATAAGCCTGGGGGCCCAGGGACACAGGTTGAGATGGTGAACTGGGGAGTATCTGCCTGGTGGAGGTGGGCTACAGAGCAAGGGGGCTAAAGGTGTGAGATTGTGAGAGAGGAGGCAGGGCTGGATGTGAGAGCCAGGCTCCCTGCCTGCTCCCCTGTAGAACTGTCCCCAACCCTCCAGATTAAAACAAAAATCACAACCTATCTCTCCAGGGGTGCACATCAGGTCAATAGAATGACCAGGTCAGTCCCTTCCTGCTCCTGTCTCTGGCTCTACCAGAGAAGAGGTGAACTGTACAGCCCAAAGCCCCATCACCTCCAGCTTACCAGACACCTGTGTCCTCGATCAGGGGCCACGTGTGTCCACTGAGCCTCAGGCCCTATCCAGCCATGTAGAACCTGAGGGGTTGGCCACCTCCCCGAGGAAGGGATGACCGAGTATCATCTTCCTTGGAGTTGGTGCAGGTAAGGGGCAGTTTACAGATGTGCTGAGCCCCAGCCAGCACCCAGGCCCTGGTTCCCATCCCAGGTTCCCAGTTCCCAAACTTCCAGGGACTCCATGTCCACTGGCCTGCTCCCATGTTCCAGGATCCTGCTCCACACCACTGACTGCCTCCCTTTCTGGATGGCTCCCTGATCCTTCTTAGCGCTTAGGTCCAGCCCAAAGGTCCCCCTCAGAGGGACTAACACAATCCACTCAGGGCCCAATCCTCTGGATGTGCCCCTCCCAGATCCTGGCTGTCCTGAGAGGGATTTGGGAACTGACAGGACTATGACAGGCTTTGAGTCCTGCAAGGAGAGTCACTTCATGGGACAATCTGCTCAGCCCTGTCCAACACAGCAGCTATGCTCCTGGGCCCCCTCTGCTGTCTGGGTAAGGGCACCAGAGCCCCCAAATCATACAGCCTGTCTCTAACAATGTTCGGATAGATCACATGCTGAAATGATCATATTGTTATTGTAAAGTGCCATCGAGTCAGTTCCGACTCATATGCATAGGGTTTCCTAAGAGAAGCTGGTGGATTTGAATCACCAACATTGCAGTTAGCAGTCCAGTGCTTATACTACAATGCCACACCAGGACTCTGAAATGATTCTATGTGAGGATCAATAAAATACATCCTTAAAACTTCACTGGAGTCTTTTAACTTTTTTTAATGTGACTACTGGAACATTTGAAATTCCCTATGTCTCTTTGGCGCTGTGGGTTAATCTGCTGAATTGTTGGTTGGTTTGAACTGCAAGGTCAGCGGTTCAAACTCACCAGCCACTTCTCAGAAACCCTACACAGTGCCACTATGAGTTGGAACCGACTCAACAGCACTTAACAACAACAACTTGCATCTTGGTTCTTACGGGGAGATGCTGGGCTATTATTATTAAGTGGTTCCGACTCAAACTAACACCCTGTGGCAGAGAAGAACTGTGCCATGGAGTTTTCTAGACTTTTGGAGTCCTGGTGGCACTGTAGAGTAAGCACTGAATTGATTGTAACCACATTGTCAACAGTTCAAACCCACCAGCCACTCCTCGGGAGAAAGGTGAAGCTTTTGGCTCCCGTACAAATTGACAGCGTCAGAAACGCTCTACAAGGTCGCTATAAGTTGGAATAGACTCTTGGGCAGTGGGCTTAGTTTTGGTTTTTCAGTCTTTACAGGAGATTCCCAGGTCTTTTCTTCTACAGAGTTGTTGGGTGGGATTAAAGCTCCATCCTTTACATCAGCACCTGAGTACTTAACCATTGTGCTACTAGGGCTCCTTGGTGTTGGGTTAGATCATTCAAAATGTCTGTGGAACCAACTATTACTGTTGTTGTTATGAGCATCCCTTCAAGAGCACACGGGATCCCTGGGCGTCAGAAATGGTTATCAGACTCAACTACTAACTAGAAAATTGGGGGTACAAGTCTACCCCTTGGTGCTTCAGAAGAAAGACCTGCTGATCTAGTGCCAAACAAATTAGGCATCGAAAACCCTCCAGATCACAGGGGTGCATGGGATGGTCATGAGTTGGTGGTTAATTTAGCAGCTGTCAAAAACAATAAGGGCGTACAGCACTGATCCTTACAAAGGGTTTGCTCAAGAGGTTTGCTGAATGAATTAGCTAAGAATAAATGAATAAATGAATGATGAAGGTAACAGGTGACAGGGATAGCACCCTGTCTGTGAGGCTGGCCAGGAGTCAGGACTGGACATCAGCCGGACTCTCCCACTCCTATATTGCAGCCTCAACAGATATAGTCAGACATCAGTACTGAACACAGCCCACCAGTCTCCACAGCCTCCTCTCTCTCTTCCAGACAATAGGCCTGGCCCTTCCTGAAGGAGCAACTCTGTTGTCCTCAGAGCTCCAGGCTGGCCTGAGGGCTGCAGGGATTTCCTCCCTCCTGGCTTCAGCCAAGTCCTGGGTTCGAGGCTGCTCTGGGCAGTACCTTCCGAAGGTACTGCACAGGCTGAAGCTGCCCCTCGGGGGCACCAACAGGATAACAGTCATGCCGCCCTTGTTTAGAAGCGGCAAGCTGCAGACCCAGGACAGTTTTTCATATTTTAACTTGTCCACATTCTTTAATGATCAGAAGCGGGTGCCAAGGAATTAGTCATTGAACTGAGCAGAGCTGAGAGGCTGATAGGATCTCCTCACCAAACAGCAACAAAGACAAGGGCGCGGCGGCCACCGCAGCAGCCCCCACGCGGGAGTTTTAATTTGATGTGAAGATACATCCCAGTTATGCACAGCAAAAGTAGAAACCCCAGTCCCGGCCTAGAGACCTCCTTCAGGAGTTCTGAGGTGGGATGCCCAGGCAAGGGTTTGGAACCCTCTCTTGCAAGACCCGAGGTTGTTCCCCTCTCTGGACCTCCAAGACAGATGTCAGACTTGGCAGCATTGGTGGAGGCACAAGAGCCTGTGAAGCCCCCATGTGGGGCTCTGGAGACAGCGGTGATGGCTGGACCAGTAGAGGTGGCTGTCTTCATGGCTCGGTGACTGCTGCCCCACCTGCACCCCAGGGCTGCCTCCTGCAACACCAGCCCCCAAACCACAAGCAAAATGCCTGATGCGACCAGGAGCCCCTTTCCTAGTTTTGTTTCTATGTGGCTACAGCTTTGAATGTAGCTGAGGGACACTGTCAGGGATGGGGTGCCTTCTGCCTCCTTGTACCATCCTCCACCAGTGTGCCCGAAAGCTTTCCCTCACTCAGGGTACAAATGCTTGGATTCTCAAATCCCTCACTGCCCAGACCAGGCCTCACTTCAGATCAAATTGCAAAAGCAGAGACCAGCCCACCAGGGGCCTCACGGAACTGAGACAAGGGCCCAGAGCCCCCAGGGCTCAGGAGAGACCCACTTGGCAGCAGAGAGGAACCTGGGCCAAACTAGGACTTTGTTGGTTTGTTTTGCTTTCCAGAAGAACTCCCCAGATAGTGGGCTAATTAGGGCACGCCCAGCCCGCGGCGGCCCGCGAGTACCTGCATGTACACGTAGGGCTCCTAGCCCGACCCGGGCAGCCGCGGGCAAGCGGGAGCGCCAGGCTTGCCCTGAGCCCCCGTCCCTCAGGTGTGGGGGGAGGCTGAGCTCTTGGGGGACCATGGCTGGAGGAGAGAGCAAGTCCCAGAGGGGTACATGGTCACCTTGGCACCTCCCCCCATCAGCAGACCCCATCCAAACGGCATCAGGCCATCATCTGTCCCTCTGGACGTCCCTCATCCAGCCAAGAGAAGGGTGCTGGAGGGCAGAGGGATCAGAGCTTGCTTTCAGGGGTGGGCAGTCATTCCCACCATCCCCTTGAGTCAGGGTTCTGGGGTGGCCTGACCATTCTGGTCAGCCATGGTATCTCCTCAGGGCA